GGACACAAAACAATCTGTTCTTCAATAAATTTGAAAGACGGATGCCTGAGCATTTTGATACTCGAAGACTGTCGTATGCCTTGCAAAGATACTCGAAATGTGACTGGCAGAAGGCAAGGAGATCCCACACGATACATGAAAATCTGAGTTCTTTTGAAATCCCAAATTAGGTGTGGCAAATTGTCTGGCGATTTTTCTCTGGATGTAATAATTTTTTCATAAGCATTTCATTTTTTCTCTAGCGGAATTGGCAACAGAAATACTTAATTATGGTACATGCTTCATATTTTGAAAATGAAATGGTGAAACCAATCAGTTTTACGTTTACCCAAGGGACATTCTAAGGCAGGATCATGTGAACGTGTGTGTGCATATTGTTCCAGCTAATAATAAAAGGGGATTTTGAGAGCCACCCTTGTTTGATGTTCAGACTTCTGTTAAACAAGTATATCATACAGTATCCAGTAAAATCATGTAAATTCCCTTGAACAGTTTACAGAAAAATGCTCAACCCCCGAATGAAGTTCTGTAAAAGTCAACAAAAACGAGAAAATAGAGTGAACGGGAGAGCATTAGTTAAACATGACATAAACATACGCAAAGTGTGTACTCTACATACTATCAAAAATTACTTCATTCAAATTCTACAGAGAACATGGATAAATTAGATAAAGCCAAGGTTAAATCTGAAAGAACGGCTAAACACATCCCACGTGTTTCCATCCATTTGAGGAAGGTGTCGAGGAGCATAAAAGGATGTGTTAAAACTATCTTGAAACGAGGAACATCCTGTAAATATACTCTGGGTGTTTTACTAGAGAACCAGTTTCATCTCCCACTCACACTGCATATAAGCCAACCTAAAATGCCAGTTTGGCGATGTGGCCGGTATGTATCACCTTAAATGAGTAATTTAGAAACCACCAACGTATATAAAAATACAAACAAGTCGCCATATTAAGAGAGCGCAGAGAATAACGGAGTTTGCCTGAAGGTCGTTTGCAACTTCAAAGTACATGGGAATGCAAGAAACCGAGTCACTTCATTCAAAAAAGATGGATTTTAACTAAGATAAAGAAGGACTCGGGTGCATGGTGCAAATTGTAAAAATCGAATCTGAAAACAAATTCAAAATCTATGCCATAGCGATCTCATTGCACACCCATAACGTATTCATCCAATTAAAATATAAAGGTGCATGATCCATCAAGGTCAATCTCAAATTGGTCAATAGATGAACAAAAGTGATATTTACCAGTCAATGCGTGTGCGTATCACATTACAACTTGTTTCTACATAATATCATATGATATATTTGTGTTAATTATACTCATGTAATATTTGTTGATTTAAATACAACGCAGAGCCGGATTGTTTGAAGAATATCGGAAGCAGTGTCAATTAACACAAGTACTACATATACCTACATTTGAAATGAGTACAATCAACAGATTATAGAACAATCAAGCATACTGGGTGATCTATTTGTCACTTTGACCATCAACGCAACTTTACTCAATGTGAGACTCGACTGCAAACAACACTATTTTAGGTACAACCTGTCTATAACTCTTCGTCTCTAAATAGAATTGATATTTATTTATACTGGAAACGTTGTAAAAGCCAAAACAAAAAGAAATGGCAAACGCGGCGAGCGACATCCATACATAACACTGCGATGATGCTCTTTGTTGAGCATCCACTTTTTGACCCGAAGTATATACATTGAATATACACTGAGATGCAACCACACCTGTATAATTAGAAAATCGAAATAAGGTTGGTCAAACTACCACACGCATCTGCGCGTAAACCTGCTGGCCCCAAATTGAAATCAAGACACTCAGATCACAACATATCGTGACAAATATTTTAATCAATAATCAACCAAATTCGAGAAATGAGATTGAAATGATTGAAAGATCTAGAACAGTATATTATCATTATATCAATTCAGAGCATCCCTTGTAAACCTTTAAGGTACATGATAAATAACCACTATTGTCTTCATAATGATTTCATGTCACATAAAACAACTTACTCGAACACTCTCATAAAACTTCCGAAGATACATCATCCGCTTATTGTCTTTCAGATCGACAACTTTCTTGGTTCGTAGGAACCTACAGAGCTCCTTAATTGCCGTTAATTGACGTGTTTGCTATTTGAAATGGAACAAGAAAGGAGAGGATTAATATCCCCTCTGCCAGAAGATATCACGCAAGTTTACATGATTGGAGCTGGTTTGGGGGAATTAAAGCTAATCATGTGATATGTCGAGAGAGTTTCGACATTATATGATTAGTAGAGGAAAGGAATCCCGAAACCAGCTCCTGTAATCATATATTTAACTAATAGGTAGATATACAAGACAGTCCCTGCTTAAAGTGTGAGCTAAGTTTTGTTCTTGAAATTTTCTTAAAATATTTTCAATGGAGTCTCTCATTTCTTTGCAATTCTGAGTATGGACTTGTTAAGTTTTTACATTCACATTTTGCTAAATTTTGTTCTTTACATTTCAAAATATAACCACGATAAACACGTTGCGCAAGTTAAGAACAATGAAGACCCAATCACAAAATACCAAAGATGACAATTATTTCAAACCAAAATAAGATATAAAGAGAAAAACATAGAATCAATTTGATAACGTTATGCCAACTTGTTTCAGATGTTAAAACTGGACAAGCAAATAATCAAGAGGAAGCTCAAAATTGTAAAATGACAAACATGGTTGATGCATTTCTAGACAAGGGGAGAACAAAGATATGATGGCTCATCTAACACTATAAACGCGTGTGAAAAATATTGTATTAGGTTGCCTAATTAGACAATAATGATTACAATTTCCCTTTTATGTGACAGTGACCATCTTTAGTTAAAGAAACTACGCACGGTTCCTGAGATCATGTTTATTAACGCCCATTAGAAACAGCGTCCACCATTGGGAGTACAAAACGTGCGAAAGTTGTTAAATGAACTCGTTATATGAGTCTTTATTTGAAGTATCTATGTAATATCTTTAAAATTAAATAAATTATTGTGACAATAATAAATTAATAATGACGTCATTGAATTTTACGAAGTGGTGTTTTATGTACTTGTTTGTGGATTATATAAGGGACAACAAAACATATCTTGGATGATCAACAATCAAACATCTCAATTTTCAACAGTCAGTTATCCTGTATCTTACGCCAAAGTCTTCAAATTTGTTTATTTAACATTGGATTTGCCACAAAGTTGGATTATTTATTTGTTAGTGTTTCCTAAATTCTCATCATTGCAGACATTCGACACAATTACCACATCTAGCATAAAGTTAGCGAAATGCAATAACATTCGGAATGCACTCCCAAAAGGGTTTCCAGATGGTTGTGAGTTGTATAAGTTCAATGTTTCTACACAATTGAATAACATATTAGTTTATATAAGACGCACCGGTTTATTACACAATACTATAAACATAAAATATCAAATTGTATAAAGCAAACAAAAGATAAGCACAACAGCGCATCATGATTGATTAGTAATACTAAATAAAAACCCGGGTGGTTTGGACATATCTTTGAAGTGATTTTAAAACAGTTGGCATCGATTTTATTCGCTTAATATGTTACACAATTGCGGATTTAGGAATTAGCTAAAACTGTAGGAAATGTTTCCAGCGCTGTTTAAGTTTGAAGTTCAGGAACAGTAGACATTTCTACCTGTGGAGAACAACGTAATGATCAACCAATGCGATACAAGTTTCTTCCAATTTTCCGCACAGGTGCTTTGGACGCTCACTGGGGTACACTTTTGATATTGTTTGAAACTTGTATACCTTTATATAACCAAACACATTCATGTGGTTAGCATCAAAAACATTGTCTATATCACATCACATTACGAATACTTGAACAATAGCCGCAATTTTCCAATTTTCACATCATCTCTTTGTGATTGTCCAAATTGTTTAAAATTTTTATAAATAAATATTACATCGTTTAAAAGTTAAGTTTGTCTTAAAAAGATGAGGATCCAACTACATCTCAAACATTCCGCTGCATGTTGCCTTTAGAAATGTATGGTTCTAGTTACGATGATACTTCTTGATGATATCAATGATACTTTGCGCCATACAGCTGTAAATGAGATACCATTGGTTACGGTTAAAATATCGTCTGCAGAGATGTTCGTCTGCTCGTACCTACATTCGCGCCCTTTCTCTCGAAAAATTACAAGAATCATCTCGTTTTGTTGCATCACTTCATAATTTGAAGTGTTAACTATAAGTTGTTGGCGGTTTCATCTATTCCTCTCACTGGAAATAGTTTTATCTTTAAGTATTTCGAAACTTGACCACGGTTAGATTTCAGTGTCAGGCCGGCTAGTTGGGCTGGAAGGTGTTTCGCGTTAAGTTGTATTGTGACAGATGGGAAGTGGAGGGAACCTGTTCTTTATACAACTGTGTTGAGGAATCGATCCTTTCCCGAAACACGTGTACGCCACCCAGTGATAAAATACCAAGATGATCATCACTTAAAACACTTATACACAGAAAAAGAGAAAATCAGCGAGAATTCGGGTGAACAGTCATGACATACATAAATGTAATAAATTGAACAGAGATGCGAGCTGGTCTCAAATGTTATTCTTAAGCGAGAATTGGACATGAATAAGCACGGTCAAAGTGAGATTCTGAAACTAGAAGGCTACTGTTTATGCTAACCCTTAGATAAAGTCCCTGCAATGTTTTAAGTTTATAAAATATTGCCAACTGTGGGAGGTGGCGGAGTTTGTATACTGTAACAAACGTTGTTTATTCTCTATGCAGCAAGCGTGTGTCAGTGAAATAGAATTATTACCCGTATGGCTGATTTATGACCGCTTTCTTTGGTGGTATCATACACAAAACATTTTTACAGACGTGACACCACTAAAACACTATAAATACAGATAATCGAGTCAATAAAATATTACCATACAATAGAAAATAATGTTAACAAAAATCTTACCATAGTCGCAAAGGGATGTGACGTCATCCATTGGATCTGGCATAGGACTCTTCCTTTTTCTTGGTCGGCCCTTTTGCACTGCCCCCACCCCGTTATAAAACGGCATTTGGCCTTGTGCCCCACCGGGCAGATTTGGTGATATATTAGGGATGAATTCACCCTGTAGAGACATTTCATAATGTTCTCGACAGAATATGATACTGTCTCTCATTCCAAAATGTTCGCCCGTAGAGAGCGTTTTATTGCAGCTTGTGCACGTAAAACAACTAAGATGGTACACAAGATCTTTGGCCCGCATGACCATCTCGTCAGAAGATATCCCTATGTGACAACGAGCACACCTTTTCACGCCATATCGCCTGGAAACGAGAAAACCATTAGACAATATGATGATTTGCACAATGTATGTGTTTTGAAGAGGTTGATTTGCTTTTTAGTTTCCTTATATGTTATAATACCTCATTTTAAATAAGGAATATTTAAAAGAGTATCCCAATCACAGATTTGACCCGCAGATTGACTACGGTACGTTTGACTATTCACTCAACAACTGGCTTACAGAGCTTGAGGCATGTTTCATTCTACACAAAAATGTCACATTTCTTTGCAATTGACTGTGATATACTATATGTGTGTAAGCTATTTCCTGCTGACCAGTCCTTATTTGCTTGGAAAGCAAGCCTCAGACTACAATGTTATGTTATTCGAGGAGAATATTTTATTTAATTAGCGAGTTATATAATATTTGGTTTGAATGTAGCTCCAGTTAGCACAGGGATGTAAGAATGTTTATATGCTGTGTTTGTGTTGCCGAAATGCTCAAGTGCCACAGCATTTTCAACAATTGTTTGTTTTGTTTTGCATTAGCGATCATGTAACAGTTCAAGATCGTAAGAGATGTATCCATACATGCCTTTCTTTAGACTTATATTAAATTAACAAGTCAAGATACCTTATGATATCCAAAACTTGATGGTGGAATACCAAATTAAGAAAATATTTTACATAATCATGAAGTTTGGTAATTCGGAATCAAATTTCAAATGTTGGGGTGAAAATAAGTCTCTGCACAATTCGCTGTTGATTTAAAATATTCTAGATTTTAACATTTCTCGTGACGTTTATTTTTTTATTAGTTTCATGATTTACGATTTCTACAACTTCTCTTGATGTCAAGAGTTCTTCAACGATCAGTCAACCTCCCGTTCGCCCCATTTCAGAATTCCATCGAGGCTATACGTTGTAATAGAAGTATCAGGTACACACAGTATGAGCGAGAAATGAAATACAAAAGTATGATGTTAAAACTCAAAACTACACCGAAATGTGAAAATGCAGGGATTTCTCATTTAATTATGGTGAGAAAAGTGTGATATTATCAAGAGCTGTGTCATGTTTTAGACGTGGGTTAACCCTAATTCAAGAGAAGTGTATCTTCACATTAAGTGTTGTTACGAACTCTTCAGATCTTTGTCTTAACATCAAGAGTAATTAAATTTATTATTTTGGTAGATTCAAGTGTAGGATTCCTTATTTATACGAAATAAATTTTATTGTCTGTCGATATTATCTTATCAGCCTATCAAAATGTTTTATTTCTTTTATTGATTTTAAACGTTTACATTTCGCAATATACCTATATATAGAGATTGATTTATCGTGAATTTGTGGGGTAAGATTTATGGGGATACGGGGAAGCTCTATGTCCTTTCTTTTTCTATTTAAGAGCAAATAAACATATGGTATTTAAAACGTTCTTAATTTTCTAAAAATAAAAATGTTTCATAAAAGCCGAGTAATCCAGATCATGGGAATGCAAAATTCTGGATATATCTGTCCAGAATATGTCAACAGTGTCAGGTATAGATACGTTGAAATCCCAAACGTCTACTATTTTCACTCTGAAATCAAACCATGTTCTTTTATTACAAGCGCACTAACCCTGTCAACACAAGGAATCTAAACTTTCACCCATACAATAGCACCAGTATGTTGTCCTATGATTGAGATTCCACTCTACATATCCTAATTCCTGGCATTTTCCGAAACTCTGAATAAACTGCGCTTTGAGTGTTAATTTTGAGTGATAATGTTGTACATATTTATACTATTGTTTGGCAATGCCTGGTGACACTCTCATTTTTTGAGATGAAAACGTCAATGCCGATGAAGAGAATTTGCAAGGAGTCTATCTAATTGAGTGCGAATTTATTTGCAAACTTTTAACCCCTACCCCTAACACAGAGATAAGGTCTTGTCTGGAAACACAGAAACATCTGAGTGCTGAATGCCTGAACATAAATGTTCCAAAACAATGATCCCTACTTCTAACACAAAAAAATACTTATCTACATCGAATTAACACAGCGTTTTATGCTTTCCAATTGAAAGTTTTCGTTTTGACACAACTTTGAAAATTGGTAGTACGCCCATTGCATCATCATCCTAGCCTTTACTCGCTCATTCTCTCTTTACTATGTCTTAAAAGTAAAGGAAAAGTCGCAAATTCAAAATCCGTCCTCGTTATCTGAGAAACAGATTGCGATAAACAATTGTTCTGCCGAGTGTAACTCTAATAGCTCTAAATCGTTGTGAATCAAGGGAAGATAAGGAGCTGATGACAGAATACTAAAATGTAGTACACCTATTTATTTTATAGTTCAGTAGTCTGTTACTCGTGTTTCTATTTGTAAATGCCCTGAGTGAGAAATGGCAGGATTTCTAGAATCATCCAAAATAAGAGTACAGTATAGGTGTGCCGCTTGCCAGTTTTTTATGAATGTCATATCAGTAGGGGGTGTTACACAATGGGTCGATATAAGATCATATAATATAAACGTGCAAACGTTCAACGTATTTTGATATGATGTTACAATGTAGGTGTAATTGTAAAATGTAGGTGAGGACGTGTGTGTAGGTGCCCATGACACGCATAATGTATGTTGGGCCAACGTCATTTTGTTATCGGAGAGGTTATGTTACACGTATTTGGGAGAACTTGAAGTGATCATTGGGGATACGGGGCCGCGAATATGTCTACCTTAAACTTACCTGTAATAATCCTCTTTGCAGTAAACATTACCGTCTCTCCAGAAACAGGTGATGTCAGAGTCTAGTCGCAGCTTGCACTCGCAACATCTCAAGCATTGCATGTGCCACTGCTTCTCCATAGCCATTAGGTAATACCTATCCTGAATTTGTCCTCCGCAGGCGGCGCACACATTGGGAAGCTCTCTGGCGTTGTCGTCTGATATCATTGGGATCGTCTAAAATGATAGAAATAGTCATTAGTGTGCAAACTCAAAATTTGGAGAGTTTTGCCCAAGGAATACAGTATAATTCATATTATTAATTGTGTACACCTATTTACACGAATGATAAAAAAGAAAAGTGTAATTGTAGGGATTTTTAGTGTGGTCTTCCACCTCTTGATAACAACAGCATGTTCTGTTAAAACAAAGACAGGTGAAATAGCAAGTAAATGTATCATATAACAGCAAGTATGTACGTTTGTGGACAAATACAGTTTCAAAGGAGGGGATCGTGTAACGACCAAGAACAATTAGAATTTATCTGATATTTGTCAGAGTGCTCTCTATGGGTCAAAAAGTTACTGGAGCATCATTAATGCTTCATGATCCAAAACATGTGATTCTACAAATTCTAAGATTTACAACTGAAACCAAAACCCAAAAGCAGAGATAATGATTCTATTGTGTAAACTAAATTATTGGCAAAATTAATGAAGATCGTCAAAAGCTGTACAAGTATGAATGGTGATGCACAATCAGAAGATTGAACGAATCAATTAAGTGGATTTCCAACACCTCAACAAGCACTGTTTATTGAATAATATGAGAATAATCATTTTCCAGTAACAAATACTTTGATTTCAGATACTTAGAAGGGTGGGTGTATCTGGCGCAGTCCCCCAAATAAGTTAATACATTTGTCTTGTTTTATTTGTATGAAGAGAATGATTTACAAAGAAATGAAGTCAATTGGTATATGGGCAATCTTCTATATTCCATAAAAAATGGCAAAAATAGGCATTTCATTCAAATATATGAGAGAAGATAAATGCGAAACGCAGACATGGTATGCAATCGTCTGCACGGGTGGGCGATAATTGGCAGAGATTTGATGATCGAGCGCTTCTTAACAATTGATCCGGCTAGAAAAATGTTTGAAAAACGCTATTGAGAACCTATCAAATATTTGGCAGGTTAACCATCCGAGATGCATGCTTTTATAATGGGACTGGTATTGTTAGTACAAATCTATGAAAAGCGGTTATGAATTAATGTAATCGAGGGCGTTATTGTTACACGTATTTCCTCCTATCACGGGTAACGGGATATTATCTATTGTTAAAGTGTGTGAAATCACTTATGTCGGAGCAGAGAAACAAGCATGTGTCCCTCGTAACATACTTCTAATGCAACGTAATTACGTATTCATACTATTTTAGGTCCTTTAGAAATGAAATATTAGGAGCAATTAAAAAGTCAGCGAAGCGTGTACTTGTGAAAACGCTTCTTGTAACGACCGCTATCTAACACGCGCTGTGGTGGATTTAACACAGAAACCTATGTTATCAAACAATTTGTCCTTCCTAACGTGCATACAAAGAGTGACGTATATGCCCCTTATTTTGACAGATATGCCTGTCTTTGACACTTTGTCATTTCGAATAGTACATCATCGCTCCAATTTCAATCAAGATTAAAACAGTTTATAAACCGAGATTGTTGTAAATCATGGCTTATCTTTTTTAAATCTCTAATACGCTAAATTCTCGCATGAGTAAGTTTTCAACAAACTCCTTGTGTCACAACAACTCTCAAAACTGTTATCCTATTCATTAAAGACATAAAATGGAGATATTACATTCATAGCGAAGTATTAGGACCTTGATATTCAATGGGCCGTGGCGTCATTATTGCTGCAATGTCAAAAGGTTAATCTTCAAACGTGTCGCCAACGAAGCGTGTTGAATATATCCTTGAATGTGTTATTTGTCTCCTAGTTTGAAAAAACTAGTTGGATCTCTAGTTATAAACCTGTCAAGATGTGGGAAACTAAAAAATCCCATATTAATTGAACCAATCATTGCATATAACCTAAAGTCACATGGGGTGATCTACTGACCCGGATATAGTTCACGTGACTAATCCTGGCCAATCATAGGCATATATGTGTCCGGCTGTGACGCCTGAAAGGTCACAGCAAGGTACATAGAATTAACCGCAAAAATGACATTTACCGAAATATTAAGAAATTAGTTATTTATCAGACAACAGCATATTAGGTTACATTGATTCTATTAGGCTCATGGGAAAGTTAAATCGAATGTATAATAGGATAAGAATTATTCTGCTATTCGATCTTGGTTGCGTACAAGTATAATGCAGGCAAATAAAATGTATTGTTTGAAATAATTAACAAAATATTGTTTCTTTCTTTGCATATATATTTTTTCAATTTATTTGCATAGCTGCGGTCCTATGCCAGTGATCTGAAACTTATGCTTTAATGTCTGTTCCAATTTTTGTCAACGATGTTTTATTTTAGATCAAATGCAATTGACTTCTTACTACTTGTTTTTGATGAATTGCGTAGGCTTAATTTCTAAAAAAAGAAAGACCAAATTATAAAGATGTCATGGTCGATCCGAACCGTGTGAAGGCAAAGGTCAAGTTCTTTTACGGATATTACCTACTTCTTTTGTTGAGGTGTCAGCCCATCATACTAAATCTCTAAATCATCTCAGACAACGAAGTACAAGGACTTTGTAAGATATTCGTAAACTAAGTTCCTCTTAAAGGTGTCAAACAAGGCTCGCTATTACATCTCAATGTGAGCTTAAACTCTCATTGTGGGATATAGCGTTACCTGATATTTTCATCACGTAATACCTTGGGCTCAATCCACATTTTAGGAAATATATTACAATTTACTATGTTAACATTTTGGATTATTTTTCTATATGAGTAGACGATCAAGTAGGGTGTGTTATACTTGGAAGTATTGTTTAAATCTAGTAGCAGTTTGTTTTGTTGATATGGTTTGCCGTGCCCCAGTAGACTTCCCATGGATAAAGTAAAATATACATGGTCTCGCTTTTATACTTCAAAAAGTAGTAAATTGGAGTTGTTAACATAAAAACATGTGATTCAGATAATTCCAATCCTAGTATGAAAGTACAAAAATTCAGTTTTGCATATTCTAATTAGTAAAGAATGATGACGTGGACAACGAAAATCCATCAAGCACATAGTTGTGTAAATGCAAAACCATTTGGAGCTTAACACTCAAAAATAAAGACTTGTCGTATTTATTCAATCCATACATCGGAATGAAGATTGAATTCTTCGTGTTTCACGTGTTCCATAATTTCTTGCTGATTCCCTTCTTTTCCATTGATTTTACTTTTTGAAAAAATGTTATAAAAAAGGACGGATTACAGATTACAGCAAATAGTGCAAAATTCAATTGCTCTTCGTCCATACTTATGTTAATAAAAACATTTAGAATCTCTTATCTCTGTATGGCATTTAATCAAAATTGGAAAAAAAAATAATCATGAAACTGAGCTTGTTCTATTTTGCAAAATTACTTACCAAAGCCGAGAAACATATCAAAGATATCCTTGAGTACAATCATATTCAATAACAGGCGTCCTGAGAAAAACCTCAGACAAGACTCGTTTACTGTAAATTGTACATGCCATTTAAATTAAATAATCCAAATGTTTCTATTTTACGCCAAACAAAATTAAGTGTAATTGTCTAAAAATATATACAACTTATTTTCACACACTTGAGTGTATATCGATAGGTTGGGTTAATTTCAGTTCTAAACCACTTCAAGAGTCATTTTGAATTGATATGGGCACAAACTTGAGTATCTGATAAATTTTCTAGGCTGGCCAAAAAGGGTGTCCAAAATCAATAGATTTGAACCAATTATAGATGATATAAGTAACGATATCAAAAATGTGACACTTTTTAAATCTGAAGAATAGAATTTCTCTTCGTATATATTTAAAGTGTAAAAATAAATGCTCTATACGGATTTAAACGACTGACCACATACAGCACCCCTTTGGCGAGTCCGTTATTAATGTAGGTCAGCTATCATACGCCGTCTACAGGTCTGTGAGGCTGACTTGCACAGTCGTCACAGATAACTTTGACATATAAATTAGGAAGATTTTCATATGAGTTTCTAATACCATAGAGCAGTTGATTGTATTTCGATTTTAGCTCACAGAAGGTACTACGTTAGTGTCATTTAAATCTACTTAATATAATAATAGGATTATATTGATTGTGCAGACGAATGCGGTTCAATTTACCATGCAATATTTCCAAAACATGGCACATTATATTAAAGGTACAGGTGAAATTGTACCTGATCCAAATACCATAAGTTGATATCCATTTCAGTCAGTTTTGGGGAATCGTAGCAATATTTCTTTCACCAGCTTATATGATGTAAGAGATTTCTTGAATTTTCATTTCTTCGTATTTTTCTGAAGTTTATTTTTTTTTGAGATATTCATAACTTTTTTTTAAACTCTAAATTCATTTTATTTTTGATAATTCAGATCTTTAATTTCTCCATCCCGTCTGCCTGAAAGTCACATGGGTCCCCTGCGTCTTCCTGTCCTCTATCCAGGGAACCTCAAGTGAAACCTTTATAGAGGTTTGAGCCTGCTTGACTGCAGGTGGTCTGGAGTGAATATATTCACTGGCATGAGATACTTTATTTTAAACCCTATATTTGCCCGTACTAAAACCCTATATTAAGACAACATAATGCCACGGTATAATAACATAATACCTGCTATAAAATAAATATATTTTAAGTTGTATTACGATTTAATAAAGTGCTGTAAAGCTTGTTGCTCTGAATGCAACTAAATCTGGCCGTTCAAAGAAAATAACACAGATATGAATGGACATGCGTGTGGAAAACTATCATTTGCGGTATATAGATTATACATTTTTTGCAGGGCCATATGCTCAATTTTGATTGTTGTGAAATGTAAAAATAAACAGCAGTAGCATTAAAATGTTCTCTCCAATGCAATGCACGATGGCGGGCCTTATTGAACTATGGTTTAAGACTTTGGGTGTGTAAAAACACTGAACATCACTCAAAATATTATTAATATTGACTGCTGGTTTAATGGACTTGAAAATTCAACAACACTTTTTAAAAACAAAGAAAAATTGCCTTTTCAATTTCGCTCTCTTATCTCTTTACATACGAACACGTGCCCCACCTATCTCAGTCGTGACCAAGCCCAACATAAAGGGCCTAGTGTAGTCCAATACGCCTTTTCCCTTCTTAAAGGGACTAGCAGAAATCCACCAACACGTGATTTCCATAAAAATCAAACATCATTTGACATGCCTTCTCTTTAATTTAAAGGCTACTTGTTTTCCCCTTAACATATATATTGTGCATATTATTTTAGAGTAATTTTCTTATTTTATAGCATTTCTAGTAACTATTTGTATATTTCATTTGTCACATGTAAACAGTAGTAATATTTTTTCCATTTGTACCTCAACAAACAACTAATTTCATCCATTTTTATGAAATAGCTGTCAATGCTGTTAATATAGAGTTTATATATTAAGACGTACATGTAGTCCATCGAGAGTTCCTTCTGTAAACCTTAACCAACCTAGTGTTTCATTGAGAACATTAGAAAAAAACATGAGACTATTTTCTTGGCGATATTTTAGAAACCAGTAATACATGATAATATTATAATTTGAAGTCCGTTAATTATTGGCTATTAATAAAACATTTACCCCTTTTCCTTTTCATAAAGCATGAGCCAATGAAATTGGGAGCAAGGGCGACGTTGTATCAGAGGTTGTATTTTCATATAACCCAGCCATTTTTATTAAATACAATTGTAATAATTAATCCCCATAATTATTTTCATTTCGATTTTATTAATCTTTATGTAGGCCCTGTGTCAGTTCTTAAACGTTGCATGTATTTTCTTGAAATATACTCTTTAACTCAGTGTAAACGCATTTCATCCGAAATCGCATTAGTTTTTTGTGACTAACTGGCATTTGATGGGATGAAAAAAGGTTTAAGTTAATCTCATGGACTTCGTGTGGTGATGGTATGCATATCAGCTGGCAATATTGTAAACATTTTACAATAGTAACTCCTTCACCGTTCATGTTTTGAAGCATGTGTATGGTTAAGAAAACATATTAAATTAAATTATAGTCTTTACATATTTATAGTAACACTAGTTATCAAGGGTCAAACGAAAAAATATTACTTTTTTCAGGACATTATCTATTTTGGTAATGGGGTTTACTATGAATGAATAACGCTGTGGTTGATTTAATATTCAGGATATACTAGATATTATATTAATACCTTGTGAATCATACAATTAAATGTTAAAATAATTGACAAAAGGAGAAATTTGATCTATGATATATATTGGAGCACATTGTGTTAAATTTTACATATATCGTTGAACAAATTTAGAAAATATTCCAATGTAGGAGCTGTGTATATATAACGTGAAATATTGTGTGTATAAACATTTCTATAGAAAGGGTTATATTTGCGTGATCGTCGACCGATGGTAAATATTTAGATTATCGATACAAATACGGTGAAATTAACTTTAATCATGCTGTATGCAACCCATTGAACAATCGGTTTTAATATTTCTATAATTCATTTATGATTGAAATACTTATAATAACAGCACTACTCGACGAGATGATTTTTCTATAGAGTACAACTTCGGGAACATATGCTATCTCTATTTTTATGTTCTTTAAATCATTTATTATAGCTCCTTTTGAACAATACAAATCTTGGAACTATTTCATGGAATGCTTTACATAGTGGTACAGACCATAAAACATGCTAAAACAAAAGCAATGAGTATTCAATGGAGCGCTTAGAGATGTTAAAATGTAAAACAAAAGACGTTAATAGTAAAATTGAAACGAATCAATTTTTTAATGAAAAGACCTTCGTATTTGTATCATATATCAATGTTCCTACACGCCCACTTTGCTTTGTGAACATGTAAATTACTAAATAACAATAAATAAAAAACGGAAACCTGAAACCTAATACCTTTCTACAATTCTAAGAGCTGACGACATTCATTCATATACAATTGAAAATTAATCGTTTGAAATCATTTTGAATTATATAAAATTATAATCAATTAAGATGGAATTAACATGGATCTAAATGAATCATGGGGTGAACCCCATCCCTCAAATATTGACACAAGGATCTCAATACGCTGGCCATTACAATTGTGATAAAAAATGATAAGTGCTTTTAAAATGCATGCAGTTGTACCTGATTTTCGATCATTCTGCGATGTGGGTTATGGTCTAATGTTCTTGCTTGTTCACATGACTGGATTCGTGTTCCGTCACAAGACATGCTCTGGTGAGTCTTCTCCACCATTCTATAGATCAAATCGGCTCCACTAGCTGGGGTCCAAGCCTATATCCTAACAATTGTATTACACGTTCTTCAAGTTAGCGCATCATTTAGGCAATTGATTATCCAATGTTGAGAGGAGAAAGTTTATTGTAGGCAGCTAGTCCTTTAAGTGTTTCCTATGTATCTTTCTTAGCAAACTTCCGTTTGTTTCCAAAGATAAGAGTTTCTTGTTTATAACCATAAAGTGCTTCTCATAAGTAAATGTCCACGCTTTGAGTGATCGTGTGTTTGGGTACGTTGTGCACACAACTCAACGGGTACAGTAGCAGTGTTCCGTATGCTGTTTCTGCAACTATTAACTTATTCTTATCTTAACGAACTGTCGTTAACGAAGATCTGAGAAACTAGTTATTGCAAGTTTATGTAGTGTAGTGTAGCTTTTGGTTCTGCTAGAAATTCTGAATCAAGTGTAAATGTGTCAATGGTTTAAGAGTTCCTCGTTTTGCAAGTGTCAATCAGACTCCAGTGCTTTGCTTCTGTGCCATACCTCCTCTAAACAAATTTCTCAATAAGATTTAAGGCTTATCACCCGCAGTTCTCCCCTTTAAAGGGTTGTTTAGCACTAGGTTCAGTGGCTGGCTAACACTGCGTAAACTTTCATTGAGTCTTGATGGAGTGTCCCCGGTGTGACATCACTATGTGGCCGCTGGACCAATGATTCCCCTCTGTGATGTATTTGAAAGATTTTAATACAAAAAACACGGGTGAATGCGTCCTTATATCGAGAAATCAACAAGACTAATATGAAAGGCGGAGTCTTAAGTGTAATCCATATGCGGTTTACAGAAGTACAATCCAAGCAGTTAAGATCGATTTTCATGTAGGAAGTTCCTCCCGTGAATAGATTTGCGGAACATGTCAGTGTAGACGATGTGATTGGTCCACCCTAAGAAGGTTTATTCATCACGGAGAAAATGCGGATGATATTTGTAAATATTTGTTACTAGTCAAATGAAATGTGAGCATTTGTATCTTCTATAAACTACTGTCTGACATCTCTTATTGTAGATCCAATCGTGGCTCATCGGGATAATAACGCCTGCTATAGAATATACGGGCTTGGTTTGTAGACCACGATGAGAATATCTGCTATTACACTGAGTGTCTGATGACTGATGCGTGAGCCATTCCTTGCATCAAGAAAAGGTGCGTTTTGTTACCTTAAATTGAATATCCATCATATGTATGTCACTTGAGATAGCAATCAATAGATACTCATTGTTTTTTGTAGTTTCTTATCATGGCCTTTTGTACCGTTTTGCGCCGCTTTCTTATTATGCATTTTTGAACTCCTATAAATACCATTTTCCATAATCTGATTTTGCTCGAGTTTCATCGACTGCATTTGCCACTTATCTCTAGATCTAGATACAATGTAGATCGCCGCAATATTTTCCTTTGGAATTAGTTTTTTGCAATATATTTGGTCTTGATATGATTTGGTCTCTTTGCAAAATTACTTTGCTGTATATGGACATTTGGTCTCCAAGACCTTCCGTGAAATAGATATGTGTCGGCTTTAACAGGGTATAACACACTCTTTGAATATCATCGGAAAGAATTTGAGTAAAATAAATTTCATCGAACTCATCACTAGAGTCATTTTCTGATCAAACTTAACAAGGCGGCGATACTTATTGATACTTATATATTTCTATAGACTGATAGAATCCTACCCATGTTTAAAACTGTCCGAGTCAATTTCTCGCATTTTACTTGATATAGAATTACAAAAAAATATTTTGAAATATTTCCATACAATTTAGTATGATGATCATCAGCATGTCCACGTTTTCTAAATTTTCATCGAATTCCTCTTGTTTAGCTCCTACTTCTCGGAGAGAAACATGACCGAGTATCCTTTCGGTCATGGGTTAAGTGTGAAAGAATAGTGTATAAAAGAGTATCAGATTACAATCCCTCAGTGTTTAACTACATAAACTTTACAATAGAAAAATACAATATTGATGTTTTACATAAAAGTGAACATGTTTCAAAGTGAACCCATCCATAAATCGTCAACAAGCCTCGCTTTAACAAACTTGCCATAAAACGTGGAGAAATAAGCGAGAAAATGGCATGAGTTAAAGTGTCCACTGGAGAGCCGGGTAGAAAATAAAACCGGGTAGTACATTTTTATTTTGGAAACAAAAAAGTCAAATGTTGATAACAATTAAATTCTTTTCAAAGAGACACCAGAATTGATATAATGCCCCAAGAAGCATAACAAGTTAAAGGTTTTATCGATTCCAAATGGGGCATCACCTTGAACCATCTGAGATTTTTGTCAAGTATATATATAAACTGAATAATGTTACATTGATTACTAACCTTGAATACAACAGTGAATCAGTGCAACATTGAGTAATATAATATTGGATGAATGCAGCTTTGAGTGAGTTAATGTTACATCTGACAAATGGAACCTTGACTAGTGATTAATAATGTCCCCACCAAAAATGGTTCGGTGGTTGATGTCCGACTTTCAGCGTCACAAATGGCAGGTGGTTACATTTTGACATTAAGAAATAGTAACGTATATAGTACTTTACTGGATCCAGCGATGAGCGAGTAAATGTAATAATGAATAAGTGAAACTTTGAGTTTTTGTAACATGCATTACAAACATTGAATACACATCAACTTGAGTGATCGTAATATTGAATGAGTACAACGAAAGGATATAACCTTAAGCGAGTAAAAATATTGTATAGAATAATTCTTGAGTAAATGCAATATGTATTGACAACATTAACCGCATCTTTGAGTAATTGGTACATTTAATGTACAGTTGAAACATGAAGTAATTATAACATTGAATAAAAGTAACCTCCAGTACTTTGAATAATTGTAACTTGAATTGAGAACCTCGAGGGCATGAAAAATTGCGTAACTGAATAAATGCAGCCTCGAGGAATAATATTATGTGCAAAATCAATCTTGAGTAATTGTAAATTCAGCGAACAATGATTGAGTCTATAGCATCGCATGGACACAACAAATGCAAAATTGAGTCGAATGAAACAATGAAAAGATGTAACATAATAAAAGCAACAACGAATTGATCCAACATTGAGTGAATGCAATAGCAGATGTAACGCTTGACGAATACTGAACTGGATTTAACATTGGGTGTTACGCCTGAATAATTTTGATCAATGTTTAGCATAAAAGTAAGATTTCTTGTATGTTAACACAATCAATCATTTGACCATTTCTTAATAAGCCATATCAATTCAAAAGTTCAATTTCCACAAATCTGTTCGTGGCATTTTGATTGTCGTATAATTAGCAATATTCTTGTCATGACAAAAAGACTAAAACTAAATTCACTGTTGCGTGTTTAGAATATGATTTGTACAAAAACTCGAAATAGCTTTTGAACGTGTAAAATGTTCTTTCCTGCAAAAATAATGACTAGCAAATACTGAAAACATATTCAACAGATATTTTCTAAAAACGATGCAACCGTATTTCAAATAAAATATGTGTTAAACATTCCGTGGATAAAATATACACCCTTCAACAAGGCGTCCAACAAAATCGCCAGGAGGGACAAAGCTGTGTAAATATCTATGGGAAGCTTGCTATGTACGTATAAGATACTATAACACTTGTCTAAACGTGACTCCATAGCCTCTGTGCCACTCTATACCGTGCAATACCTGCCGCCCCAGATACAATGCTTTCAAGGTGCAAAACACAAACAATCAGGCAAACGTGTTGAAAATCTGTTTAATGTTCGCCTTACCTGAATATTTATACCAAACAATATATAGCGTAACAGTTAGTATTTCTAGTAAGAGACAGCGGTGTACTTAATCGAGCAAGCCACGACCATACAGACACACAATTCATCAGTTTGTCTATCTGTTCTACCTGGAGATAATAAAGTTCGCCATTTCCATACAAAGGGACAAGCTGCTAGAAATCCAGAACCAAAGTCATTTATTAATTTATCCATGAACATCCATGCATTATATATCAGAAGTAAATCGGAAATAGATACTAATCAACAAGTCAGATCGAAAGTCAGAAACAACTTTGTCTAAGATAAAAACCTTTTTTATGATGTGAAAGAATGAGCGGCATTCATTGACAACGGGAAGAGAAACACATTTTATTTTGCCATGCCTGGAACAGACTGGATACTATTTTCTCTAAACCGCTCCAAGTGGAGGTGTATTTTACGGAAAACCGCGGTGGGTAAAGTTAAAACAACAACATGAGATCGGCCTGTGTATTCTACAAACGTTCACAATGTTTACGGGCCATATTTAAAAAATATTCGAGCAACGTTGGTGTCCCGACTATTGCCCGTGTCTGTTTCACACTCCCCGTTGTTTTCTCTTGCATTGAGCAACAGTGATCTCCTGAATCACTCAAAATAGCAGACGACAATGGAAAAACAGGCAATTAATTTAACAGAATATATGAACGACATGGGTAAGAAGATTATAATCAGTAAAATTAAACAAATATTTAAGAAGGAACCGAACTTTCTAATTGATATTTACTGAAAGGGATTTTAGTTCCATGGTGTAGATTTCAAAATGGAGAAACGGAAAAAGTTTGGAGGGATCAGAGTCTGTTTACTTTTCTCAAAGCATGAAATGATTCGGTACAATGGTGAGAGCGTGAAATAAAAACGGCATTGGTTTGGATTCGAGGTATCACTTATAAAGAGAGAGTGTCTGTGAATCACCGAGGCATATGCCAACATGAACAAAACATTACCAGAATTCATATACTACAAAGTCAATGAAACTGGAAAAACAAGCCAGCAGATCAAAACATACATGTTAAATTCATTCTACGTTCATCGTTGTGAAGACGAACAGGTAGTTCCAACAGTCAAAATCTCAAACCTGTATTTTAGAAAAACTATAATTAAAAAAACACACATTAATATACATACTGGAATGCGTTGTGAGAAGTGGCAAATAATATTTTTATTACTCTATAATCAAAGTTT